CGCGCCAGCCTCAGGGCAAGGCGCACTCGCACGCTGTGCGCGGGTGGGGCTGTGAACCACAGGTGCCCGAGCACCGGCCGGGCAGCAGCGTGGCATCTAGAATCCACCAGAAAGAAGGCCGCGGAGCGCCAGGGTTAGGGAGCCCTCGGTCAGCGAGCTGCCCGGACCGGTGAAGGCCCCTCCAGCACCTGGCTGCAACCCCGCCCGGGGCTCACGTACATCACCTCAGGGCCCCCAGCGCCTTGGGCCACAGGTAAGATGACGTGCGTGTGGCAGCCGGCTGCCGTGGCCTGGGGACGGTTCAAGATTGTCCATGAGACGTGCTCTGTAATCCTACGCTGTGCCTAGATCAGTGCTTTGAACTCAGTGGCAGGATTCTGACTAAATTACACTGTGAACAGTCAAGAAAAGGCAACTAAGTTCTCACGCCCCCACTGCTGCTGGCTGTACACACAGTGAGGACACACAGAGGGTCTCCGACCTGGGCCCAGCTGCCCGCCTCCTCCTCCTGGGTGCCGTGGGCAGGATGCAAGAGAACACAGCCGTTAGTCCCGGGAGCTCCGCTGGCAGGTGGGGCGGGCGTGTGCAGCGAGCGGGGCACGACCCACAGCGGACACCATGCGACACTCATGCAAAGCTCGGCGGGGCCTCATGCTCGGCCAGCGCCGCCCTGGGAGCCGCGGGGCAGCCGCCAGGGCGTGGCCACGTGCACGCAAGTGCAGCAAGCCCCGACTCGGAGCCCGCGGGAGCCCTAACGCAGCGCGGGCGCTCTCCGGCAGACTCCGGCCAGCCACACCCAAAGGAGGCGCTTGTCCGGGGCGGCCGAACGGAAAGGGGCGTATGTTTCCACAAAAGGCCAAGAACCGGTGGCTCTGAGCGGGAGTGGGCGGAGGGAGGCGAGCTCGGGGCCCTGACTGACCGTCTGTGGCGTGGCTGCCAGCGTTTCCATCTCTTCGTGTGTTAACCAGACATTTCCTGTGGTCTGGGCACCCAGTGAGCAAGCACATCCCAGGCCGGGGCAGCAGGGACAGGAGGGAAGGCGGCAGACGTGAGCCGCGGGCTCACGAGAGGGCAGGTGGCGCCGCAGCGCTGCCCTCGTGCCCGAGGGAGCGGCCCGAGGTGACGCCGCGCCAAGCGCACAGGCAGGTGTTGGCGAGAGGCGGTGAGAGGCAGCGGGAAGAGGCCG